CACTGCTCTCTTGTCTCCTCTGAGGCTGGGACTCTAAATAGTGTTCTGTGCTCATCTGTGCAGCTAAGGACAGAACAGTTAGCAAGTTTTGCTCAAACTTTCGCCATGGCGTTAAAACTGGTACACCGCTTGTCACTTGCAAAATCAAAATGACGGCACTGTGGGTGTAAACTTACAGATTAAGGGGCGGTACTATTATAATGAGATCCCTTTGCCACGTCACCAAGGGAGCGAAATCCGACGCGCTTGTTTTCTCAGACTATTGCAGAAAAAGGCTTACCAAAACAAAGTTACTGGGTTAATCTTTTTCACGTTTCCTTGGTTGGTAGATGCACCAGGGAGCTGATTATAGCACTTAAAACCTGGAAAAGTCAGATTTTCATATGTCACCTTTAATATGTGCAATAAGCTTTCAGAATATTTTGTCTGTTTATTTATTTATTTTTGTAATATTCTTTTGTAATATTCTAATTCTAATGCTGTGAAGATATCAGTTTTTATTTTTAATAATTATATAATTTTCACATTTTACTTATTTATAATACTAATAAATTGCTGACATTCAGCTTATGAGTTTTCAGTGAAAAATTGTATTTTAATCATCCACATTAACTACCATGGTGGTGACTGATACCAACTGCAGATTTATTATCGTACTCATAATTGTAATGAGTTTGCTATATTATTGTTTTAAACTTGGTTTCCATGCCATTTTTTTCAGGCTGAACCCTTGTCAGTTACAGTATTATAACTCACATACAGATTTTTATTGCCAGCAGCCCTCTGTCCGCATGTTCTGATTTGAGCAGGTTCTCATCTGAGGATGCGAAAGATAACTGCCAGCAAAAGGATCTGAATTTAGAATGTTTCACAGTCTGATGAGTCCTGTGAAGTAGAAATATATGTGAATTATTTCTATGATTCATAGCAAATGCAAAGGGTTTTTTTGTTTGTTTTTTGTAGTTCAGTACTAATTGTCCCCAGGAGCCAGATTATGTTCAGCAACACAGCACTTTTCTTCTTCCTTACATATTACACTTTATCATAGATTATACATCATTGAATTAGTCAAAAGCTCTTTTTTTCCCAAAATAATGGATAATATGTACTCAAATGTATTGTTCAGGTATGTAAGCCTGGGGGTCAACCTTCATCATAAAGCCACAAATAAACCTTTTTTTGTATGCAAACTGAATTGATTCAAAGGATGCTACATTCAAACCACATATAATTGCACATGCTGTTTTAACGCAATTAAAGAGGAATTTCTGAAAACCTAATGATTATGATGGGATTTGTATAAGTGAGGGCTAAGGCTAGAATGAGCTTTGCCTTGTTTATATTTCGGAAAAAGAGTCTCATAAACGAGTCTTGGCGGTTTAGGAATAGCACGGTCTTGTGGGACCAGAGTTCAAGCAGCATATGCATTTACATGAATAAATGTGCCCGTGGTTATTAATGCTTTATTATGTCTTAAATAATTCTAATACTTCTTATCTCTGAGGGCTGAGCTTTGGCACAGACACTCTTCACAGATTCAAGGTAATTTTTCACAACTGTTGAGCATAATTCTCTGGGTTTTGTTTTCTTTTTGTTGTGCAGTGTGTATGGATGCCCGTTGGCTAAGAAAAGGAAAACCCAAGAGAAACCTCCAGAGGAGCCAGCTTCCAAACGCCGTCCATTTCTAACCATGGCTGATGGAGAGCCCACCATGTATGAAAGCTATGAGGCCATGGAGGAGGTAGAGGAGAGGGAACAGGAAGAAGAAGAGGAGGAGGAAGGGGAAGAGGAAGGGGACGATGAAGAAGAGGAGTGTTCAGATGACAATGAGGAACTGGGAGAGGAAGAAGAGGATGAGGAAGAGGAAGGAGAGGACGATGGAGAGGTGGAGAGAGAGGAGATAGAGCAAATGGAGGAAGAGGTAGAAGAGGATGAGGAAGTGGTGGAGGAGGATGGGGATGATGAAGAGCAGGAAGAGAATGAAGAGGAGGACGATGAAGATGAGCATGAGGAAGAGGAATACTATGAAAATCAGGGTCATCAGCAAAGTAAGTCTTCTCTGATTGATTGCATATTCTGCTAACGTTTTCCAGAACATTTGTATAGTTATGGAACAATGGTCTTAAAACATGAAATAAAAAAGTATATATGTCTGAATAATTAAAATATCTTTATGACTTTTATGATCTTATGATTTTTAAGAACATTCTAAAGACATTTCTCATTGGATTAATTAACTCATGGAGGTGGGGTTTTTTTTTTTTTTTGCTTGTTTGTTTTTAAGAATTGTAAAAAAAAAATTATCAAGTCTGATAATGTTGAAAGAACATTCTATTCATGTTATTACAAGATTTTTCAGAGAACCTTTACACGACATTAGCCAAAATTGTGAGAATGTTCCCAGTTAGCTAGTCCCAGTTAACACTGAAAGTTACATAAACATTGAAAATTTTCAGTTTTTTATATTTAAATGTTTTTCCTTGGTTATATGAACATTCTGGAAAATCTTAGTAGGAAATGTAATGTTTAGAATCTACAGAAGGACATGTTGTTGCTCTGACACACAGAATGCTTCATGAAATATGAATCAAGGGCAGCTTATTGTAGGTCAACCGACATTTCAGAGTATAACTGATAGAATATGCAGTCATTAAAGTCAATGTTTTATTTCTTAAATTGCCTGTTTTAGTTTCACGTCATACAGTATGTGTAATTTACTGAATCACAGTCAAATCTACATAAACCCTGCCGAGAATGGCTAGCCTTCGCCATCCTAATTAATGTGAATTTTACAGCATGGAACAATCCAACTCCCCTTTCGCAATTGAGGGAACTGCTTCCTTAGTATGCGACTCACCCTCACTCTCTGGTGTCCTCAATCGCTTGTGACAGTGCTTCCAGAGTAATAGAGAGAAGAGGCTCTCTGAGTTATTAACTTTGGCCCCCCTCCACAGATGCACACCACCGTTCCAGGAGGTGTCAAATACACTCAGCCCCCCCACCCCTCCCTGGTGAAAATGGGCTCCTCCTGAGGATATTTCTGGCTCCAGAAACAGAGCACCTCATCCTCTGCTTATCCCTGCAGTCTCATCCGCCTCTGTCCCAAATACAAGCAACACTAAAATCTTTTCAGTACAATTGAGAGGCTTTCAGAGCAGCCTGTGCTGCTTACATGTTATAGAGCACGAATATGTCTGGTGAAACATTTAAAAGGCTGCCTGATGATTCATGTACCATATTGCCGTTTCTCTAAAATTCATCCGCTTCTTTTGCAGAATACTCAAATATATTTCAGTGGCATAGTGGTAGTTACCATCTTGCCAAATTGCATTTGATTATTTAAATCAATTTGTACCTGTGTCATCAAGCTGTACATGAAACCCTGGCATGACATTTGTCTTTGATTTGCTGCATCAATGCTATGGTTCATGAGACGTTACATTTTCATAATGATAGTGTTCAGACCGCTTCAGATTATAGAGAGGACTGACATTTTACAGAGCACCTCATCCGCTGCTTATCCCTGCAGTCTCATCCGCCTCTGTCCCAAATACAAGCAACACTAAAATCTTTTCAGTACAATTGAGAGGCTTTCAGAGCAGCCTGTGCTGCTTACATGTTATAGAGCACGAATATGTCTGGTGAAACATTTAAAAGGCTGCCTGATGATTCATGTACCATATTGCCGTTTCTCTAAAATTCATCCGCTTCTTTTGCAGAATACTCAAATATATTTCAGTGGCATAGTGGTAGTTACCATCTTGCTAAATTGCATTTGATTATTTAAATCAATTTGTACCTGTGTCATCAAGCTGTACATGAAACCCTGGCGTGACATTTGTCTTTGATTTGCTGCATCAATGCTATGGTTCATGAGACGTTACATTTTCATAATGATAGTGTTCAGACCGCTTCAGATTATAGAGAGGACTGACATTTCGTTTGTGAATTTATCATGCCGCTCAAGCCCCTTGCTTTTAACAGGGTGGAAGGCCCTAGTGTGCAATGTATTTAAGGATGTATTTGTTGGAGCGGTTTAGAAAATCTTAATCTATTTCGATAATCCACTATAGACAATCTATTAACTATAAGTAACTTTGCAACTACATGTCAACTAACTCTCATTAGCATTATTAGTAGAGTAGTAGTAGACTGTTAGGCTTGGGTTAGGGTTAGTAGAAAAAGTTGACATGTAATTACAAAGTTACTTACAATCAGTAGAATTTCTGTTGGAGGAACATCAAAATAGTGTTAGCATAGACTAATACTATAAAGACTGGTAGTTGACTGATAGTTGCAAAGTCACTCATTGTCAGCAGAATGTCTAAAGTGGACTATCAAAATAAAGTGTTGTCAAATTCCTCGTGTTTTTCGCATTTAACCAACAAATTGTTCTCTTTTCTCTTCAGACAACAATTATTCCAGTGGTGGACAATCAAAATCCAATCAAATCGTTGAGAAGGACAATAACAATAACAACAGCATTAACAATGACTATGAGAATTATGACGAGCTGGTGGCCAAGTCCCTTCTCAACCTTGGTAAAATCGCAGAGGATGCTGCCTACCAGGCCATGACTGAATCAGAAATGAACAGCAATTCCTCCAACAGTGCTGGTGAGGATGACGATGAGGATGAAGATGACGGGAGTGAACAAGGAGGCCATAAGGGAGAGTTGAGCGTTGACTTGAATAGCGATGTGGTACGTGAGACCGTGGACTCCCTGAAGCTTCTGGCCCAGGGACACGGGGCAGTGCTTCCCGATGAGGGATACGCAGATGCCGGGTCTGGGGATACTGGCTCAGCTGGCCACACTAACGGACGGGGCCATGCAGAGGAGAGTGAGGAGGAAGTGTGTCTCAGTAGCTTGGAGTGTCTGCGCAACCAGTGCTTCGACTTGGCCCGCAAACTTAGTGAGACCCAAACGCCCGAGCGGTCCACGATGGAGGACCAAGTGCAGCACCAGGCTGAACAGCAGCAGCAGCCTCCAATGCATCACATGCCCAGGTACGACAGCTGCCAGATGGACGAGCACAGACCTCTTGAGAGGAACTACTCAGACATGGTCAATCTGATGAAACTGGAGGAGCAGCTCAGCCCTGCTTCAAGAGGCTACCCCTCTAGCTGCGCCCAGGAAGGGGATGAGGACACTACGTCACTGGCCTCCGAACTTTCCGATGAAGCTTTTGACATGACTAAAGGCAACCTGTCGCTGCTGGAAAAGGCCATTGCTCTCGAATCCGAGCGTGCCAAGGTTATGCGAGACAGAATGGCATCAGAACAGATGGTGGCTCGGAGGGACAATCAGCGTCTTCATGGAGAGCACAGCCCAAGGCTGAGCAGCAGTGCAGAAGAACGCAAAGCCCGACTCCATCATGATGGCGCAAAACGAGCATATTACCCTAAAGGTAAAAATAAAACTTCTAATGAGATTTTGCATTTCAGCAGAGATTTCAGTAGATAGTTCCCTTCATTATTCAGAATATGTAAGTCATATTCTGCCACTGAGAAAACTAATAAAAAAGGTTATTTTGGTAATTTCTCACAATTGTGAGATATAGAGAAACAACTGTGAGATAAAAAGTCAGAATTTACTTATTTTATTTCTTTATTTTTGGCAAATGTTACTTTAAATCTCACAATGTGACATTATATCTCACAAATGCTGCTTTATTTCTCCTAATTGTGACATTATATATCACAATTTGACTTTATGTCTCACAGTGTGGCTTCATATCTCACAAATGTGGCTTATTTTTTCCTAATTGTGATATTATATCTCACAATGTGACTTTCTTTCTCATAAATGTGACTTTATATATTCCAATGTGACTTTTTATTTCTTATTCTGAAACATTTTCTCACAATTACCATTTTTTTCTCTGTCACACAGTACTATCCTTTATGCTTTTTTATTTTTGGGTAGTTGTTACTTTGAGTCACTCAATGTGGCATTATAGCTCACATTTGTGACTTTAATTCTCCTAATTGTGACTTTGTATCTCACAACATGGCTTCATATCTCTCATTTGTGACTTTATTCCTCCTATTTGTGTTATTTTATGTCACAGCATGACTTTATTTCTTTTAAATGCGACTTTATTTATTCCAGTGTGACTTTTTATTTCTTACTTTAAACATTTTGCACAGTTAACAGTTTTATTTTTTACTCTGAGGTGGAATCGAGTTTCCATTAAGGAGCATACTTGCACGAACAGAGACCTTTTGAATATGAATATAATTTTCTCGTCCTGAAAGCTGTTGCAGCATTTGTTCCCCAGTGTCTTGGGTCACTTAGCATTCCTTCACACATTTCGCCGATGACATTGATGACTATGGGGTCACTTTGGTGAGACGGAAACATTTTGGGGCTTGTTTTAAACACTCAGGTCACCCTGGTAGCGACTTCCATAATGACAACAGCTTATGCTGCTAAAATAGGCTGACATGGTAACATCAGAGACTTACCTTGTCAGGCATGAGTAATGGCAATCTGCACGGTCCGTTAAGAAAGCAAATCTCATCCCTTGGATCCCATACATGGTTTGTTACCTCAACTCCTTCCCAATCCACACCCACTACCTTTGGGAATGAGCCATCTCCTCTGATATATCCAGATATTAGCAATCAGAAACTATAGGAGCATATCAATATCACATTTAACAAATGTACGTTATAGTGTTAGTTAATCCTCAGATCAACTCTGGTTACCCAACCTAACATCTCTTCCTATCTAGTACTTTAAAAGGTTCATCATTTGATGGCGCTACTTTGTGTTTCATTTCCTTCCATTTGCTCAACTTGCACTAAGTTTTTCATTTCGGAGAGCATCTCTGTACTTCCTATCACAGACCAGTTTGCTGTTGTTTTCAGTGCACGACCACAGCAAGTCAGAGGGTCGTGTAATTATAGAATTACACCATGATTTCACACCTCGTCTCCAGAAACTATTCTTGGCGCTAATTATTGGAGCGTCGTTATTAAACATGTCGAGTGATCTCACTGTTCTGACTGACAAGGAGCATTATTATCGCATGCTTGTAGAGTTCTACGACAGTTATTTTTGGCTAATAAAAGAGGGAAGATATTACAAATTTGTTCACTTAGGTAAACCGGTTTGAATAATAGAGAATGCATGTACTGATAAATGTATCCATGATTTTAGAAGAAACTGCTGTTTGCTGGTTTTCCCGTTCTACAGTAGTCTCATGGTAGAAGCTATGCACACCGCGAACCAAAACCAGTAAAAGCTGAACATATTTTTCTTGCGGGTTTTCATTTGCAAGATAAAATTGGGGAACTGGTATAGTGGAAACGTTAACCTATTTAACAGCAGGAATTTGAATTGGTTGCTTGTAATATCAATAGCACACATGAACACGTTAACCTGTAGTAAAATGTCTTTGTAGAATAAAATGGTATGAGATGAAATCATTGATACATTTATATGTATAAAGTAAAGACTCTGATTCCTATTTCCTCACAATGATTGTCTCATTTTATGCGATTCGTTTTCATACTGTAAGGTGATTGTAAATCAGCTCTTTTTTCTCAGTGCGTACAGTTGTATATTTCATCTTTATGAAACTATATAACTATAATATTATATTATATTATTCATTAGCTGACATTATATCTAGTACAGAAAGCTCAATCTCAAAAATAATGAAGTCTAAAATTTTCCTAATAGGCTACACGTTTATTATTAGTACTTATAGCTCAATATATTTTATAGTTTAACGGATGTAAATTTTAATGAGAATATATATATTTTTTTATTTGTAGTAATGTGGTAGTGATTTTGCCCTGCCTGTATAGCAGAATTAAAATGTTTTAATTGTTTTGACAGTACTGAACTCAGAGAAGTACGACTTGAAAAAACGCGTTCATATCAGGGAATAAATAGATGTAGTTAATTGAAATTAATGACGTAAATCTTTTTTTATTGTCCAATTTTTTTTATTGTCTTCTGAATTACCCATTTTGAATTACAATCCAATACAATCTCAGCCACAAGTCTCATTCAAGCTACTGTATATTCTTTATCCAATATCTAATTTCAAAGCAAACAGACAGTGTTTGAAAATGGCTGTAACAGGAGCATAAATGTTATCACAAAGAATCCAGCAGGTTAATGGGATTTGCTTACTGTGCCTGTAACAGGATATGCCAATAACTGTCTTTGCCTACAGACTCAAGGGGAGAGAAAAAAGACAGCAAGTGTCCAACCCCGGGTTGTGATGGCACGGGCCATGTCACTGGACTCTATCCTCACCATCGAAGCTTGTCCGGCTGCCCCCACAAAGATCGCGTGCCGCCAGAAAGTAAGCCAAATATGAATGGCTATTTGCACATTGGTCCCCATTCGTGTTTGCTACATGCCGTCTGTGCTGCGGGCATGTTTTACCTCTCTTTTCTGTAATGCATATGGGTGCATTTCCTCCTCCACCCGAAGCGGTGGCTCTCTTTCTCATACGAACAACCTCTGCTTGTCTGGATGTGCTGATTGTTGCTTATGTCTAATTTTAGCCTGTTTCTCAATATGGCTGCACTGATCTCTCAGACGCAAAGCAGCTTTTTCATCACTACCTCCAGTCACACCTCTAATTGGATGAGGATCATGTCACAGGCGGGTTCTGATGAGTCAGTTTACTGCAGGCCCAGAGACATAGCGCTGCAGGATGTGTCACAGACAACCTAATGGCTAGACTCATTTAATTCACCAAAAATAAATCAGTTTTTATTGAAGAGAGGTTTCTTTTCCTTGTACGCCAATGCTTTCACACAACGTGCATGCCATTAACACATTGCATGCCTAGATTCTTCTTTCACCATATGGTGTGGCCGTGATTAACTTTATTATTAACTGATTTCAGCTGGAACGTTTCTTAGGAGCATGTGCATGCTGTTGTCACTGAGCCCGTTCAGCTTAATGGAACACAAGGCTTTCATACTCACTCTGGATCCTCCTAACCTTCTCTCGCCCTCTCCTCTCTGTTTGTCCAAGTTCTTGCAATGTATGAGAATGTTCTAAAGTGCCCCACGCCTGGCTGCTCGGGACGCGGCCATGTAAATAGCAACAGGAACTCCCACCGCAGGTGAGTGGCTGGAAGGGACGTGGAGAGAAGAAACAGGCGGCACTGTGGGGACTGATGTTCCAGTCTTTTTACACACTTCATACAGGGAATAAGAAGAATACGTAGATTTAGATGGAGACTTGCTTTCAGGAAGAAGAAGAGGGACTGATTTGTTTATGTTGTACTGAGCTCGGCTGGATCGTAGAAACACATAGATCTAGGATCAAATATTTTGTTTTGCACATTGGCACTTTTGACATGCCAGCCTGGACATGCAGACTGGAGATTCATGATTCTGTTCCTACCATGGAACAAGGGACTTGGTGAAATTTTGAAACCTTAAAAAAAGCCTCTAAAATGTATAAATAAGCAAATATATAAAATAATATAAATATAAAATAAATATGGTAATATCTTTATTTATAAACATTTCTTATTTTTAAAATTATATTTAATTGATACTGTATGTAAGGATACTGTATATAATAAAATGATATACACACACACACACACACACAGTATATGTATATATACAGTGGGTACGGAAAGTATTCAGTATTCTTAAATTTTTCACTCTTTGTTATATTGCAGCCATTTGCTAAAATCATTTAAGTTAATTTTTTCCCCTCATTAATGTATAATGAGGAAAAAAAATTAACTTAAATGATTTTAGCAAATGGCTGCAATATAACAAAGAGTGAAAAATTTAAGGGGGTCTGAATACTTTCCGTACCCACTGTATATATCTGTGTGTGTGTGTGTGTGTGTGTGTGTAACAAAAACATTTTTAATAATAAAAATTGTAGTGTTCTCTACATTTAATAATAATAATAATTTTATATGCACAAGTAGCTAGAGAATTTGGTGTCTTAAGAATGAGAGATCCACATGTACAAACACTCACAGACTTACACTTAAGCAGTTAAGATGTGCCTCCATGTGCATATGGTGTACATTCAGACAGATGCAGTCTCCACCCGAAGTTGCTGCAGGCCATGTTATATGGAACAGCTCCTATGGGACAAGCACACACAAGCACACACACACACACACACACACACACACACACACACACACACACACACACACACACTATTAGAAGGGTTGAGCTGAAGAAAACAAAATGTATAATAGTGGAATATAACAACCTTGTACAGTATATATGGTTTGTCTACACATTCCTCATCGCATGGTTGCCATGGCAACTCAGCCTCCTTCTGTCTGTCAGTCAGCACTTACTCACTTTTTTTCAAATTCCAATCCTGTAAATGCACAAGTACTTTTATGCTTTATATGTTTCTGAAATTTCAGAGCGTGAGGGGTTTTTTATGTTTGTATTTTTGTCTCTTATTGTTTTTTTGAGAGGGACTGAATGGTTTCTGTATAACCAGAAAACAATAGGAAAATAGACAATAAGAAGACAGTTCCCAACTATACAAAGGATTACGTAGAGAGAGAGAAGATGACAGAAAAATGTGAGAAATGAGACAGAAATGATGGATAAACAAACAGAGAGGAAGATAGAGAGAGTAATGAGAGGAAGAAACAGCAAGGGAGAAAGAGAGAAAGGAGAAAAAGAGAGCGAGGGAGTGTAGCTGGATGTTCTGAAGCTCAGTTTGCTGTAGTGTGTCTCTCTGAAATGACTGCGGTATCTCGCTGTGAGGAGCTTTCTGAAGCCAGCCAGCCAGAAATACCCAGCAGATATCTGCAAAGCTTTGCCTTCATACTATAGAACTAGGCCACATGAAATGCATAATTCATACATAAACATCCCCATGTACCGCACACACGTGTACCAGGATTTTGCAAACACGTTGGAAGTCTGTATTGAGAGAATGTCATAAAAAGCAGACTATTCTCTCTGACAGACTGAGACTTGTCTCCATATGCTGGAATTATACATTCCCTCATATCTCACTTACTTCAAATTCTGCTATCTGCTAGGGCATGTGTGAGTGTTTGAGAGTGTGTATGTGCGTGTGCCCTTACATGCTGCTTGTAATGTAATGTTAACATTATATAAATTGCTCTGCTGCTGTTGCAGTCTCTCGGGATGTCCCATAGCCGCCACAGAGAAGATGGCAAAGGTTCAGGAGAAACATCACCCCTGCGACAGCTCCAAGTCTAACCAGGCGTCAGACCGTGTCCTTAGGTACTTTGTGACCCTCTGTGCCATAATATTTAGTAAAGATATAATGCAACAAGTCTGGCTTTGAGTTTTTGTTGGAACAGTACATTAATCATATTCATGTGTACAAGTATTTTTATAGTGCTTTAGTGAATTAAGTTTTTTTTATAAATCTTTTTGATTTTTGGGGGAACTATTTCTTTAAGATGAATCCACATAATGAAAATGTGTTACATAACGAATATAAAATGGTTTGAGAACTGTGATTCATGTTGACATTAAGTATAATGTATGTCTAGGACTCTGATACCCAACCTTGATTCCCTGCCTTTGTCAATTGTTCCAGACCCATGTGCTTTGTAAAACAGCTGGAGATCCCACAGTATGGGTACAAAAATAACGTCCCAACCAGTACTCCACGATCCAACCTGGCCAAGGAGCTGGAGAAGTACTCCAAAGCCAGCTTCGACTACAGCAGCAGTTATGACAACCAGCCTCATGCATACGGCAAGAGGTCCCTCACCCCGAAGAACCATGGGCGAGACACCTCACCCAAAGGATATGATGGCAAGCTTGGCTTTGTTATTCTTTCCTCTGTTATTGAGGCTGGTGAAGTAGAAAGAGTCAGAATTGATAAACTGGTCTTTCTCTAGGGGATCAGATGGAAATAAGATTAGAATTAGTTTTGTACTGCCAGACGTCCTTGTGGTATTTTCCATTTAGAATAACTTTTATTTTCTATTTTGAAGTGAAGGCCTTCTCTTAATAAAAGCTTTAGCTTGGATTTTTTCACAGACAGTCGTCGAGTTCAGTGCTCCTTTATTGGAAATCCTACTCTACTTATTGGCTTCTGAAATGATTAATAACCTAGGTACACAAACCCAAATGAAGGGATATCTAATTTGCATGCAGCTCCTTTAATTTAATAATGGCTGGATAGATATTTTTGACCACCAAATGCATATTTGTAAATAATGTAAGAATAAATTAATCTGTAAGTTAACATTTTATCATATATCATGATATTCTCTCTCTTTCTATATATGTTGCAACCATTAAATGTTTGGCTAATGAGACGTTCTCTTATCAATTAACAAAAGCATTTATTGTGCATTTATTGGTATTAAAAGTAGTTATGTAGGTGTTAACCTTTTCATTACTGGTCCACAGTGAGAGATGCAGACAGATCATTGAATGATGCCAGATTTAAAATCCTAACGTCTGGATGTGGGTTTGTCAGTTTTGTCAAACATTGTTTTTTTTGTTTGGTTCAAGCTTCATTTTTTTAGTTTTTTGTGATTGGTAATGTGCAATGTTGTAGCGCGCTGAATAGATATTTTTGACCACGATAATACATATGTGGGAAGAATGTATAGATATATAAATCTATAATAACATTTGATCCTATATGATATTCTCTTTTTCTCTTTGTATGTATGTATATAATGCAAGATGTTGCAAGACATTCTCTTATAAATTAAAAATAGCAACAAAAAAAAGCAGTTATGTAGGTGTTAACCTTTTCATTACTGGTCCACAGTGAGAGATGCAGACAGATCATTGAATGATGCCAGATTTAAAATCCTAACGTCTGGATGTGGGTTTGTCAGTTTTGTCAAACATTGTTTTTCTTTGTTTGGTTCAAGCTTCATTTTTTTAGTTTTTTGTGATTGGTAATGTGCAATGTTGTAGCGTGCAACTGCAGCCGTGGTCTTGATAAATGGGCGCACTTACATTTGTGAAGGAATCAAATTAACTGGAACGATTTTGTTCAAAATGGTAGCAGTTGATTTCACGCCCAAGCCAGAAATTTTAGAGATTTCCTGTCAACAGAATTCGGCGGGATATTTTGGTACAGTTTCATTAGCTGTGCTTAAAATAACTCATTTTCATTATAACTCATGGTTATTACATCAGGACAGTCTTGATTGCCCATAAGGAGCATTACAGCATGCCCTGCAGTGATAATATAGACAATGTTATTGAAATCAGAACACATACCACGTCTCGGAAATTAAAGAGCATTCTTGCAAGTGATGTTACTTGCCTGTATGCTTTATCAAAGAAATGCAGTTTTTTGATAAATGAGACAAATGAAGAAAATTAAGCTTGTTAAAAAAATAATGAGAATCACATTTAATTAATGTTAGGAATTAACTGCACATCATTTAGACTCAGTTGGCAACATCAATTAGTTACACCCAGTTTAGTTGTAATGACAGCATTGCTATTTGTCTCAATGCAAAATTAGATTAAATATACGATCAAATGTGAGAGTCGTATAAATCTTGAATAAGTGGTTATAACTGCATTTTAGCAACTGATTTGTCACCTTCCAGTATTGGAGGATAATAACAGTTCCTTAGTCAATAACAGATTTCTGTGTTCTGTTGTGTATGGATGCAGACCAGGGTTTATGAATGTGGATTTATATAAAAAAAGAAATGTTGTATAAATGTTTCCCATGCAGGTCTTAGATTTCATGCTAACAATGTGTAACCCTCTGCATGAAACCTAGATACACTGTCAAGCCATTTATCATGAAGCATCAGATTATTTAAAGTGTGTGTGTATCTATCTATCTATCTATCTATCTATCTATCTATCTATCTATCTATCTATCTATCTATCTATCTATCTATCATCTATCTATCTATCTATCTATCTATCTATCTATCTGTCTATCGTTCTAATGATCATTCAATCTATTGTTCTATCTATCTGTTCCATTATTGTGTCTATCTATCTATTGTTCTATCTGTCTCTTTTTCTATTTCCCCATCCATTCATCCATCTATCCAAGTTCATAGTGCCCGTCTGAACTGGTGTATGTGTATGTGTGCAGCCAAGCGCTACTGTAAGACCTCGAGCCCGGCCAGCAGCACCACGAGCAGCTACGCTCCCAGCAGCAGTCTCAGCTGTGGAGGAGGAGGAGGGGGAGGAGGAAGCAGCGCCAGCAGCACCTGCAGCAAGAGCAGCTTCGACTACACGCACGACATGGAAGCCGCCCACATGGCCGCCACCGCCATCCTCAACCTGTCCACGCGCTGCAGAGAGATGCCCCAGAGCCTCACTGGGAAAGGCCCGGAGCTCCTGGCACAGGTGAGGGTCGACAACTTTTTCCTGCCAGTTCCTCTCTCATCCTCATCCACTTGTACTGCTAATATTATATTTTTCTTTCTCTCACTGGGTATTTCTTAGTTTCTCTGCACTGCCTTCCAGTGTGACTGTGCTGTATGGCAGTAAAGGTAGTGCACCGAAATGAGGGCATGCAAGTTTAGAGTCATTCGGGGCAATCCCCTGGTCCTTTCCTCGAGCTCATTTGCACAGGGTGCAATTTCACACAGTGAATGACAGCAGCACCTCTGAGAGCTCCTGCAGGTCCATTTTTTGCTAGACTCAGGGTCATCATATGAGCCTAATGGTCTGAACGAGCCACAGTTGCTTTAGTGACACATCAATTTCAGACATAATCTGTATGGTGATAATGAGAGTACAGGACTGGAGGAGACCAGAGGAAGCTGCCCCTACCCTCTCTCACTGAGACAAGTAGAATTAATGTTGATTTCAGCTGTGGTCCAAGCCAAGCCAGCTCTCCCAGCATCCCTCTGGGTACATAGGAAAGACAATGACCTCTCTTTAAGGACAGTGAGGCAGCCGACTGGAGGGAGTGGGGATGAGAATGAGAGAGAGAGAGAAAAAGAGGGACCGAGGTAGTGAGGAGCTGCAGGGCTCTATATATTCAATAATAAGCAGCTGTGCATGGAGATGTAGGGCACTCTCTTCTTTCGTATCTTTTCTCCTCTCATTCTTTCCCACACTGTAAAAAACTGAAGTGGTTGTAGAATTTTTAAAAAATATTGGCAACTGCTTCCATGTTTTTTAGTTGAACTCGTCTACTTAATTATAAGTAAATGTATTCATTGAACTTATAATGTTGTCAAAATTTGCCATCATTGTAGAAATACTTTTTTTCTTAGCTTAAGAGTTGTATGCAAATTGTTAAGTGTTATGCACTGCATTTCATCATGTTTTTATGCCATTCAATAGCTTGGGGTCAGTAACACTTGAAATGTTTTGTGAAAGAAGTCTCCTACAGTATGCTCACTTGCATATATTTGATTTAAAAAATACATTTAAAATAACTTTCTTCTACTTTAATATATTTTAAAATATTATTTATTCCTGTGATGGCAAAGCTGAATTTTCAGCAGTCATTACTCTAGTCTCCAATGTCACATGATCCTTTAGAAATCATTCTAATATGGTGGTCAAGAAATATTTATAATTAACAATGCTGAAAACATGTTGCTTAATGTTGTTGTGACTTATATACACTTATATACTCTTTTTTTGGGGATTCTTTGATGAATAGAAGCTTGCTGAATAAAGTATTAATTTCTTTCATTTTTCTTTAAAAAATAATTTTCAGCAGTCATTACTCTAGTCTCCAATGTCACATGATCCTTTAGAAATCATTCTAATATGGTGGTCAAGAAATATTTATAATTAACAATGCTGAAAACATGTTGCTTAATGTTGTTGTGACTTATATACACTTATATACTCTTTTTTGGGGGATTCTTTGATGAATAGAAGCTTGCTGAATAAAGTATTAATTTCTTTCATTTTTCTTTTTTCATTTTTCTAAATAAATGCTGACCCCAAACTTCTAAATGGTATAGTGAACATACAGAACAAAGTGCTTGTTGGCTCATAATATGCCACATGACCTTAAGACTTTATACAGTACATGAAATGTGACAAGGGTAGCAAACAACTAACTAACTAATCATTTTAAGCAGAGGTACAAATACAGCTTGACATCACCAGAAATTAATTACCACACGTGACAACAAAATCAGCAACAACAGTGTAAATAAAGCTGGCAAATGTTCAAACAATGCAACTATATTAATTATTCATGCCCATCTCAGGGAAGAGGGAAGAAGTTTAATGGGACTGAACCGCAAAACTACTGTTTCAGTCTAGGTAATTGAACACACAGTTAATGCCCATGCGGGGGTTCTCCTTCAAGATCTCTTGCTTATGTTTTTGTAAGTAAGTAAACATGAAACAGAAATTGCAATTGTTTTTCTTACCTATCATTATGTATTTTTGACATATGAAAAATAATGTGCGTGAATTAATAAAATGATATGCATGGATAAATCATTTATAATAAACACTGCAATATTCCAAAAAAAAAAAAAAAAGAATGATCAATTTTGATTTCATGGTGAATTTACATTCAGAATAAAATGTGTTACCAAAAAATACAATTTAATATTTAGGTATTTTTCGGCATTTATAATTTTAAAACAAATAATTAAATACTAATAATAAATGATATATTAAAACTAATTTTTTTAATCCGTTTTTTTTACTTGTTTAAAATCTATTTAACAGTATGATCCGTGTACCC